ACATTTTCAAGTTAATATTTAGCAAGTCACAAAACATCTGCATATTGGACGATTTGAATAAAAATTTCAGCACTTTCAAAGTCACGTGTGGGCTTCAAACTGTGAAAGTTGCACCATGGTACTTGCTTTAGATCGACAGGTGAAGTAGAGGGTACAATTGAATACAACGGGGTACTTTTAGGCTAACATTTACCAAGCCGATAAAAATTCGCATATACGGCGATTTGAATGAAATTTTTAAAACTTTTGCACTTACTGGTGTTCTGCAGAGTGTCAAAGTTTCAAGTTACTACGTGTTTTAGGTTGGAAGTAACGAATTTTTCAAGCAGCGGGTGCAGATAAGTCAAAGCTTTCTTTTTTAAGTTTACATTTACCAAGTCACAAACAAATTACTTATTGGACGATTTGAATCAAAATTTCAGCAATTTTGAAGTCACGGGTTGACTTCAATCTGTAAAAGTTGCAAGTGGGTACTTGCATTAGATCGGTAGTTAGGAATTTTTGAAGATGGAGATCTGGAGTGCCATCTTTTCTTGGTACTGTGTGAAGTTGTAAGACTCATATTTGTTGATGCAAGAAGACTTAGCCAGCCAGTAATTTGCATAAACTAGTATTAATAAAAAAATGGCATCTGTTCTCAAAACAAATCCTCGATACGAAGATTACAACCGTGCACTAGTCAATTCCAAATTTACAATGGGGACGAATGAACCCATTTATTGCTTTCCAGAAAATGGATACAAGATTCATACGAGTTTTGGGACGCATTGCGAAAAACAAGTGAAGGGATAGAAGCCGGAATTCTTGAGGTATCCGGCTATATATTTTCCAGCGAATTTCCGGAAATCGTCAGAGTAAATATGCATTAACACGAGAAAACTTAGTAGGTCCACATGATTGGTTTGCTGTTCTCAGAACAGATTTCTGGAACAAGTCTGTCCGGTGTATCGTTCGGCCACTCGAGCTGAACTCGGGCTGTGTCCAGGAAATTGGAAGTTCGGTTCATTTTTCACCACTCTCCTCACCCAGAGCAGCTACTACATCCCATGGGCCACGCGGGAGTTTCAAAGCCACGGTGGGCAGCTAATTCGACAGAAAGTAGCCTCCTTGGAGCATCTGGGGACGCAGTACGACGTAGTTGTAAACTGTACAGGATTAGGGGCGAAGACTTTGTGCAATGACCATCACTTGGTGCCTATAAGAGGACAGGTGTCCAAGGTAGGAGCGATTTAACTGCCAAAGAAGTTCCAAAACAGGTTCACTTCAGGTAAAAGCGCCGTGGATCAAAACGTTTTTCTACGGCGATTTGGACACCTATATTATACCAGGCGTGGATTCGGTAACTCTGGGAGGGTGCAGGCAATATGAATCATGGGACCTCAAGGTTAACGACTTTGATTCTATGAACATTCAGCAGCGTTGTGAGGCTCTTGTTCCGAGTCTTAAGGGCGCTGAACTGCTGGGACATCAAGTGGGTCTGCGGCCGCACCGAGCAGTTGTAAGGGTAAGTTGCGGAAGCGCCGGTAATTTGATGGAAACTTAAAATGCGGTTCAAATACCAGGTTGAAAAGGAGGTGAAAAACCCCAATGGGAAGAAACTGAAAATTGTTCACAACTACGGTCACGGCGGCTATGGAGTTACCACAGCCCCGGGAACTTCACTGTACGCCTGCGATCTTGTTCAAGAGATTCTCTCAGGCAATAGCAAATTGTAGTGTTGTAAACTTCGGTACGTGCACTAGGCTTGGGTAACACTGTGTTGAGTTACGCTTTTGCGCTGATGCCCCTCTGTGAGTTGGCGAGTTATAACTCATCGCGCCTTACTGTATGGTAGGGATGGGAGGAAAACATCGATGTTTCGCAAACATCGATGTAATTCGTTCGAAGTTCGATATTTCTACCATCGATGTTGGAAATTTGGGACATCGATCATGAAATGAAAACATCGGACAAGTTCAAATCAAATCAAATGAAAATACGTTTTATTGACACGAAAAAATTCACAAATTTTATGGACAAAGCGAAAAAAAAAAACAAAATACTACAACATAAAGTACGTACAGTACAGTCAACAATGGTGAAAAATTAAAAAAATATAGTAAAACAGTACAAAATACATCACGAACAATCAGTTGAATCAATTTAGTGGATTATTTAACATTGCATTGTTTTAAAATGTCATAGTAGTAGTAAAAGAAAATTATTTAAGTTTAAGTTAATCAATTTGAATATAAAATAATTTGGAAAATTCGCCGTCCTCATCGCTCTGAAGATCTTCAAAGTTTCCTTAAAATTTTAGGACATTCCAGTTTTAGCAAAGTTTTTTAAGCAATTTTGTCTACGCAAAAAACGCATTATTTTCTAGTTTTCCTTAAAAGTACTGACAATCTTCAGGTATTTTCCGCAAAACATTATCAAGTTAATATTTAACAAGTCACTAACAATCTGTACATTGAAGGGTTGCAATGAAAATTTCAGTGATTTCAAACCCATGTGTTAGCCTTGAAGTGTGAAAGTTGCACGTTGGTACTTGCATTAGATCGGAAGTTACAAACTTTTAAAGTAGAGGGTACAATTTATTGCAAACGGTAATTTTTAGGTCAACATTTTCCAAGTCGGTAAAAATCAGGATACACGGCGATTTGAATGAAATTTTCAGCACTTTCGGAACCAATTGTCTTCTGCAGAGTCGCACAGTTTCAGGTCACTGTGTGTTTTAGGTTGGAAGTTACGAATTTTTCAAGCAGCGGGTGCAGTTGAGTGAAAGTTTCATTTTTAAGTTAATATTTAACAAGTGACTAACAATCTGTATATTGGAGGGTTGCAATGAAAATTTCGGCGATTTGAAACCCACGTGTTAGCCTTGAAGTGTGAAAGTAACTCGTTGGTACTTGCATTAGATCGGAAGTTACAAACTTTTAAGTCACTAAAAATCTGTGTAATGCAGGATTTCAATGAAAATTTGATCCCCATGAAACTCATGTCTTGGGATCAAAGTGTGAAAGTTGCAAGTTGGTACTTGTGTTAAATCGGAAGTTCCAAACTTTTAAAGGAGAGGGTAAAATTGATTACAAAATGTTATTTTTAGGTCAACATTTTCGAAGTCGGTAAAATCAGGATACAGGGCGATTTCAATAAAATTTTCAGCACGTTTGGAATCAATTGTTGTCTGCAGAGTCGCAAAGTTTCAGGTCACTGCGTGTTTTAGGTTGGAAATTACGAATTTTTCTAGCAGGGGGTGCAGTTGAGTGAAAGTTTCATTTTCAAATTAATATTTAACAAGTGACTAACAATCTGTATATTGGAGGGTTGCAATGAAAATTTCGGCGATTTGAAACCCACGTGTTAGCCTTGAAGTGTGAAAGTAACTCGTTGGTACTTGCATTAGATCGGAAGTTACAAACTTTTAAAGTAGAGGGTACAATTTATTGCAAACGGTTATTTTTAGGTCAACATTTTCCAAGTCGGTAAAAATCAGGATACAGGGCGATTTAAATGAAATTTTCAGCACTTTTGGAATTAATTATATTCTGCAGAGTCGCCAAGTTTCAGGTCACTGCGCGTTTTAGGTTGGAAGTTACGAATTTTTCAAGCAGCGGATGCAGTTGAATGAAAGTTTCATTCAAGTGCATTTTAAAATGCTAAACTGCACTGAATTTAAAATTTTAGGACATTCCAGTTTTAGCAAAGTTTTTAAAGCAATTTTGTCTACGTAAAAAACGCATTATTTTCTAGTTTTCCTTAAAAATACTGACAATCTTCAGGTATTTTCCGCGAAACATTATGAAAATTTTATTAGAATCCTCGCCTTCTCCGTCACATTGTAAAAAGTTTCAAAATCCCTTTTCAGCTTTGAATTTGTGACAAGAATCAAATAATTTTCTATCAAAAAACGAACAGAATCAGCGAAACATTCTAATAAATTATTTGGAAAACTCGTCACCTCTATTCCTCTGAAGATTGTAGAGCTTGTTAAAAAAATGTGGTTTTCTAGTTTTGACTTATTTTTTTTGCTTTACTTTCCATTCAAAAACGCTATATTTTGCAGAGTTTCACTTAAAAATAATGACGATATGAAGGTCTTTTACGCGAAAAGTTACAAGATAAAGCTATAGCTTTGTAGCAATTTTTCAAAAACTTTTTTCAGCGTCGAATTCGGGACAAAAATGAAAATAAATTTCTCCCGTTTTTTCCCGAAAATCATTAACTTTTTGTCAAAAACCCATCAGAAAACTAAAAGTTTTGAACTAAAAACGCAAATTTTTTTTTTTTAATGATTTTCTTCTTTTCTGACTATGATGAGGTCTTTTAAGCCAAAAATAACAAAATATATTTTGCTAGAAAATTCTCGTCATTCATCGGGTTGCAGGGATCTTTAGAAAACTCTTTTCAGCTTCAAATTTGGCACAAAAACCGAATAATTTTATTCAGTTATTTACGGAAAGTAACAAAGAATATCTTGAAAAAACGATCAGAGAGCAAAAGTTTTCAACAAAATTATTTGGAAAATTAGCCACCCTCATCGGTCTTACTACTTTTCACGTTTCTTTAAAATTTCAGGTCAATCCAGTTTTAGCAAAGTTTCTAAGAAGCATTTCTTTCTACACAAATACCTATTACTTTTAGTTTTTCTGAAAATATTGACAATCTTCAAGTATTTTCACTCGGCTCCCGAACAGCTTTGTAAATTTTTTTCTGGAACCTTTTGCAACTTCGAATTTTGGACAAAACCCTAATAAATATTTCGGGATATTTTTCCAAAAATATTTCCCCGAACAGAACAAGTGAAACTTTATAATAAATCCTTCGGAAAAGTCACACGCTGTGAACAATTTTTCTTTTTTCTAGTTTCTGCACTTTTAAGTCAATATTTCTAAACCACACTGTCTCTAAACAGAACAACGTGTTTTTTCCTAACGTTTTACTGTAAAATACTGGCAAGCTGAAAGTCTTTTATGAAAAAAAGTTCAAAGATGGGTTTTACAAGAAAAGTCGTCGTATTTACAGTGTGGTCTTCTTTATCGTCTTTTTCGAATACCCGGTTTACCCTTGAATTTGGGACAAAATTGAAACAAAGTATTCTTGTTTTTTTCGACAAAATTGAGGTTTTCTCAACAAAAGACGACCAGAGAAAGTAAAAGCATATAATCAATATTTGGAAAACGCGTTACCCTCATCGCTCTAAAGATTTTTAAAGTTTCTTCAAAATCTCCGAATTTTTCCGTTTTGGACCAAATAGTTTGAAGCAATCGCATGCGCAAAAGCAATATCCTGATGGCTTTTTTTTATTAGAAGTTGAAATTCCGTCACAGGCCATGAGTTATAACTCATTAACCAATGAGTCAAAACTCATTAACTCAGAGAACGGCAACAACTCAAAAGCGCTGTCCTGTTAAATTTAATGCTCAGCATTAGTTATAATGCAATCGCATGCTCTAGTTGTCCCAACTTTTCTAATTTCCTCTCTATTCCTCGGTTTTATCATCGCCTGGAACAAAATTTTAGTTTTATGATCTGATGTCAGTAACGCTGGCTGCCAGTTCGTAAAAGCCACATCTCTACGAATATTGCTGAAGTGTTCCAAATATCTTGCAAGTATCCCATAAAAATGCTATTTAGATGTTTTTGCGTGTAGTTGAGTGGCTGATGGGCACCTATTATGCTTTAGTTTATTATGTACTGTGAAAACCAACTTCATTTAAAACTAGAAATGAAACATTTGAACCCAAGGATCCAAAGTTCACAAATAACATACTTATGTTTCTATAAAAGAGTTTTATTGTAACATTAACAAATAAATGGCCTTCTAGGTGGTTCTGGATGCAATATTACAGTAGTAAGCGTAAGTTGATTAAAACCTAACCAATCCACCTGGTAGATTGAAAACCAAAATGTCGTATATTCATCCAGTATTCCGATGGTTCACTTACTCTTTGCTAATATTAAAATTGATAGGCATAGATAAGAAACTCTAGTTCTGGGAAGATCTTTAAGACATCGAAATTTACAAACTTTCCAAAGGTTGAATCCGCATTGTATTCTTTCATAGCCGAACAATCACCAAACTGTTTGTTACAGAAAGGCTGTGACAACAAATTCATTTACAACACTGAACAATATTTACGATATTTACAAATTCTCTACAGTTTATACACATAATTGAGACCATTTTTGACATAGAAATTGTGGGTTTTGTCCGGCTTGGTGGTAACAACTTATTGTTTTCTGGGAATCCACCCAAGGTCTTCAACGTATGACTTTTTTCGGTACTTATCGACAAAGTCGAAAGAACCATCGACAACAAGTTTCTGTTTCCGTCCCAGCGGCTAACAGGGAGGTAACTGCTTGTTGCCGACCGATGAACTAATTTACCCTGTAAAACACATTTCTAAAACTTTTTGATATGTACACATCAGTATTACTACAATGCATTTTATACATAAGTACACGTAAGCCTAAAATTGCATAACGATTTTGATATTTTACTTGAAGAGCTTCAATGGTTCAACGAGGCTTGATTTCAACTTTCCCTTTTCAGCTCCTTAAAACTTTGCAGTTTGTAGTTTCCCAACTGTACTGACTGCAAAGTTTATAAATCCAGCTTCACATTTGATTATTCAATATTCACTAATTTTTATACATAACTGTTTCATTCGAAACCAATCGGGGACAAAACATATTAGTACGTTTAAAATAAACGAATGCTTGCATCATGCAAAGCAGCAATCTGCCAGCTGTTCGAGTGACAAAAACGGTTTCTCTCAAATTGATATGTTGTTTAGTAAATTCGACCAAACCTGATTTGCGTTTCATTTAAAACTTAGAACAAACAAAGCCAACAGAATCTGAATTTGGACCAACACACAAGGGCGGATCCAGCTTGCCAGTCAGCGGGGGGTCATGTAGTAGAGGCTTCAATACAATAACTAACGGATTTATCCGTTTATAGTATTAAATCTGAAAATATTTGAATTATCATCACGCTAAGTTCCTTGAGAAATTTAGCAGCAATTTATTATGTACACACAAAAAAGACAGTCAGAGAAAAACCACAAGTAAAAAGGAGCGTCTGTAGGCAAAAATTATATTCTTCGAAAAATTCGGGCACTCGGCTTTAATTGCACTGGAACGTTTTTGACTGAGAATATTTTGCTTGGAAAATCGTCGATTCGGCATTAGAGTCTTTTTCAACTAATATTAATTTCTCAAACATTTTAGAAGATCGGCACTTTAGAGCTAACGGTTCATTTTAACAAACAAAATTATTCGATTCAATTTAGGGATGATCCTCTTTCGAGTAATTTAGCCGCAATTTAATATTAATTTATTTATTATGTACGCACATAAAAAGAAAGACACTTAGAGCAACCACTAAAAAAGGAGCCTCTGTAGGCAAAAAATTATATTCTTCCAAAAATTCGGGTACTCTGCCTTAAATGCACTGGAACATTGTTGACCGAGAATATTTTGCGTGAAAAATCGTCTATTCGGCATTAAAGTCTTCATAAAATGATATTCTTATCTTTCCAGTCAAAGTGTGAAGTAGACATTCATTACGTTTCGGCGAGACAACAGCGCCATCATCAGATTTAAAATTTCCACAAACTCATGATTGGTAAAAATCAACGTTCTTTTAGGTCTTTGCCTTCTTTAAACCTTAAATTTGTCTGAATTATTCTCAACATTTGCGAGAGTGGTATGCATGTATTGAGCAAAGCAGAAATAGTTTAAATTTTTCACTATTGTACTGGGCTGTTCCATACTTATGGCTTTATTAGGGTTTGGTAAATGTTGCTAAGGTTGTCGGTATGTAATCGGAGATTTACTGCTTCTGCATGTTTTTTTATTTGTATCATTTCTTGGATTCTTTTTTTATGATAATTTGTTTTCCTAATTAATATATCTGCGATGTCAAAATCAAAATTATGCAACATTTGGTGTGCATGTTGTGATAATGGTGTGCAAATGTAGAAAATAATTCAGATTAATTTATTATTATTTTATCTCCGAAACCGGTGCCAATGTCGCTTTTTGCCAAGAGAGCCGAACCCTAGCGAATTCCCGTGGCAACCGAGGGCAGTTTTTCTTTTTGAAATATTTCCAACAGTTGCAAAGTTATGGGCAAAGAAGTGTGCAAACAATGTGGATGACAGTCTCTCTAACTCCAAACTCCATTTTCTTCGAAACTATATAAGAAAACCATGTCAATGAAAAGTGGGATTTGGGTCAAAACTCGACTCTTAAGTGAAAAATTTGGACATTTTTGATTTTCAAAAAATTCRAAAATTTTCAACAYAAAAAAAAAATTCATTGCAATTTTTTTTTGCAATTCAATTTCTCAACTATTGAGTTGCTCCTAAAAACACATTTTGGGGTTAAAAATATATTGATGCGCAGGAAAAGAGCGTATTTTCAGGCAAAAAATCTTTGAAAATTTAACAGTGACCAAAATGGACTTTGGCCCTGAAACAGCTTTCTACGCCAAGTCGATGGGCTTTTAAGCAGTTTTCGAATTTCTGCAAAATATTGATAACTGACCGAGTTACAGGGTAAAGAGTGGAAGTATGTGCAAGTTTGAGAGTTTTACGCTTGCCAATATTCAGAGCCCATTTCCTTCCAAACTGCTGCAAATGCAAATTTTGTTATATAGGTACAGTGAATCTGTCGAGCATAAACTTTCGAAAAAATCTAATGTTCAATTTTGAAAATGAGTTAATCGAGGAAAAAATTAAAAGTATTTTGTTCGGGAAATGGTCTTTTCGACCTTAAAATCATCATAACTTCCAAGTGCTTCAACCTAGTGCAATTTTCCGAGATGCAGTTTTTATAGAAACTCGTACGTTTCCCAAGAAATTTCAAAATCTCCAATTCGGCCCGATATTACCAGTTATGCAGGAAATTTCTACATGCCTAAAGTTGTTTTTCCAAAACAAAATTCGACCTTAAATCCACAAAGAAAACATTGATAACATTTGTCTTGAAAACTCGTCGTTTCCACCTTCCAGCCCTTATGACTTTCAAGTTTCTCAACCGATTTCAAGTTTGCGAAATACGATTTTTAGGCAAAATCACTCGCTTTTGAACGAATTTTCAATAATCCAAATCGGGCCCATATTAAGAGAGTTACTTATTTATTCATACTGAAGGGTCTGATGCAACTTATTTTCTTAAATTATCCATGAAATAAGAAAAAAAATCATTAGTCGATAAACCCAGCACTATCTGGTCCATCAGATCCCCTCTGGATCCGCCCTTGCCAACACATTTGGACTGCTTACAACTAGATTGATTACGCCATTTTTGCTTTGGTAGTTACGGACTTTATCAAACTATGATACATTAAATACCCGTAAATAATACTGCTTATCAGTAGAAAATAATGGTTTCACTTTATTTGGCGTAATTACCCCACTCTAGCGTTAGTTGAATACTCTTAAACTTTGGCACAAGTCTCTTTCGATGCAGAAACTACTCCTAACTTACGGCCCCATGAACATGAGTTTTTTAAAGGCCTTTCGAAACTCCGGATTAAAAATGGTGTAAATCACCGGATTGACGAAACTGTTCATGTAGCCGAGCCACGTGGTCAGCAGGAAAGCTGATACTCCAGGATTGCACGGATAGTTCAGCTTGCTACACATGGCGTCCAGGATGTTGCAGGTGAAAAATGGCACCCAGCAGATAAGAAACACACCTGCAACGTATCAACATTAGGTAATATCATTTTAGGTAAAGTGGAGCTGGTTAAGAATATATTTGCTGTTTAAATAGTTAAAGAAATAACGATTTGACGATGCAATCAAACACGACTTTGTAATATTGGTTCCTTAATTGGAGCAGCAAGCAAAATCAGTATTCATTATCTTCAAGCCGTATGTTCCAGGTTAATAACGTTAATATATTTTACTAGTTCTGCACAAAACGATTCTACGATATTTTCTCTTTAACAATACGGGAGCCGTAAAAACCGATCAGAATCGCTCGACCATTGCGGTTTTATGGGCACATTTTCCACAACCGGCCATATTATTCGCTCTATCTTCCACCAAATTCGATGCGGTTAACTGGATAATGAAATTGCGATGTCTTTGAAAAAACGGGTTTATTATGTACTGTTAAAATTCCGTTTTACTCTGGAAATATATTCGTGCCGTGAAAAAAGTTCCGAATTTCGACCAGCAGCTGATCCAAAATAAAACAAGATTTACCAACCCATTTCTAGAGTAATAAAAAACAAGTGTAACAATAAAAACCCATCTAAAATCGAGGCACGTGAGCCGCACGAATTTCCACGTGAAAAACGACACGTAATATATCACAAACACTCATGCAATAAAAAGATTTATTTTCATTTCGGTTGGTGATGGAGTTTTCTGGACAGCCCGCGTCGAATTTCGCTATAAACGAACATGCCCATCTAAGATTATGAACGCTATATTTGATTGTATAGGGTGATTCAAAATGGGCCTTATTCCTCTTGCGGGAGCTTGGGTGCTTGTGTACTGGGACATTCGAGAAAAGTGTTCCAGTTGCTTCTAGCCTAGAAGATATTAAATCTTTGCAATAAAGCATAATGAGCTTTGCAAATTTCTGTTAAAAAAATTACGATTTTATCAATTTCCTAACAAAAATAATATCTCCTTCTTCTTCATTCTTGATTATAGGCGAATCGCCTGTTCAATTATCGTTCGCTTGCGTGAGACTGTCGCTCCATCGTTTCCAGGGGCGCCCCACGCCTTTTTGTCCCAATGGGTCTTCCTTCTTCCTGTTTGCTACCTATTCATTGATGTTCTTCACATTGTAGGCTGTTCTGATATCCTCGCTTCTCTCTCTCTATCCAGCAGTGTCTTTCCGGTGATTCTACGGAGTATTTTCATTTTATTTTTTGCTCGATTACTCTACCGTCAAGTTCCAGTTTGCATCTTAGAGGGGTTTTTGATGTTGTTAAGCACTTTGTTTTGGTCGGTGATATTTCCATATTTAGACTTGGCTGTCAGGTTTAATAAGTGTAATAACCTTTGTAAGTTTTCTTCACTTTCTGCAATGAGAGCGGCATCGCCAGCATAACACCCTATTTTGATCAAAAGAGATAGACTTTCGAGGCCATTCTTTGAAACTAATGAGTTTTTCGGGTTTTTAGGCCGTCGTTCGGTAGAATTTCTTCCTCACGTTTCGCAAGCACGACCGGCTTGCATCTTCAGAAGTGGTTTGCTTGAACGCTTACACTCTTCCGATGCGATTCCTCGGGGGCAGTTCGTATTTATGCACCGGTTGCGATGGAATCCGGTAGATTCTTCGGTTTTCTGTCTTTAACTGACCCTAGTCATTCTCGGGTCTTTGTTGTAGACTTGTAGATTGTTCTTATGTTGTGTTTCCTCAGGAGCCTCCCAATTCTGTCCATAGCCCTGGGAACAAAGGGCAGGAAAGCTTTCAGAGTGGATTCACTTTTTTCAGCACGGCCCACTCCTACAGCTTTTTTAATGTCCAACTGGGAATATCCGTTCTGAAGAAAAGCTTTTTTCAAGTGCTGGAGTTCTGTGGTTAGATGTTGTGGTCCACATATTTTCCTGGCTCTACCCGTAAGAGTCAGAGAGAGCACATCGAAGCTGACCAGCATGTCCGTAAGTTCCAGTCTGAGGTCTTGGACCTTCTTAGTGAAATGTTCGGAATCCTTTCGCACAATTTCTTCATCCGACATAGAACTACATCCGACATAGAAAACAAAAATATCAAAAACATTTATTTTCTAAGGCTCGTATAACAATATCGAAAATGAACCTGATGGACTGCTTTAACTGTAGCAATGTTCATCTTTGCAGAGCTGCAGTCAATAAGGTCAGGATGCACTACAAGAAGAATACATTTTCAGCGTATAGTAGAAATACAAATTTGAAATGTAGGTCACTTAATCGTGTAAATCCTGTCTTCCTCCATCCTTTCTTGTTGGAGGCGATCAAGAAAGTTTTACATAACGCGACAAATTTTACTTTCAGCGGAAAGACCAACATCCCTAGCCAATTCTCCGGGCATTTTGGGGCGTCTTCTTACACGTATTATTGTATCAATTTCGCATTGTTCACAAAGAGACTTCCAGTTTTCTATTGCCTCTTCACAAATTTTGTCTCGAATTTCGGCTAGTTCAGTCACTTATGATTTAAACTCTTGGAATGCTTTTCTAAAATTCAGTCTAGGATCTACTATTCTGAGGTGCACACGATGAATCTCCTTTAAGATTTCATACCGGAAATGAACTAAAGTCATGAAACTAAAAGTTAGCATATTTTGCAACAGCAGCTTCACTTGTGATGTCACTTTTAGTGGTAGTGTCCTTTGCAATTTTTTCTAATATTTCGCACAGGGTGATTCAAAGTTGGCGTCATTCCTCTAGAGGTGTTGTCTGCGATGTTTTAAGAGTACAGAAAAAATAGTATAAAAATTAATTGTTATTAAAAACTGAGAAATTTGCACAAACTATATTAGAAAAACGGCAACAATGTTTTTCAAGGTAATCTGCCTAATTAACATTACATTAATACCTGTTGCTTCGTAATTATGTAAAACTCCGGTAACCATGGATAAATAGAGAAAGTGACAATAAGGTAGACAAGGATAAACGGTAAACCCAACAGGATTCGTTGAATGACGGAACCTATTTCGAAACTCATAACCTCGAATTAATAATTTGTTTACAAATTACAAAAACATACATTTGAGTCTGTAACTCTAAACAAGTGCCTGTGTAATCACCTTATTATGCAGTCTTCTCGAGCAGCTTCCCGTATTCGGTTAATTAACTCCTGCTCAATTTATACCGGTTACATACGTGGTAGGAATGTAGCCGGTATTTATTTGGTGCCTGGGAAAGTGTCAGTGTTGTGTAATGTGCTGAGTGCCCCTGGAAGGCTCTTCTGCAATTATGTTCAATACGTGTTCCTCTGTGCCTGGAACCCGAACATCTATCGTCCACTATCTTCCTGGAACCACTCTTCTCGCCCTTTGTTGGGGTGAGTTCTTCCAGCTTCTGTTATGTTAATGAAGCATGTCCCCTGAACTAATCGCATATCCGCAAATTCGTAAAGGAAAATTCAAAGTAAGTCACAGTTTGATAAACTATTGTTATTACTGGCAAGGGCCTGTCCACCTGTAACTATCTGTTCATGATAAAAAACATCATTGCCGCTTTGACTTTTCATCAAAAAATTGTAGAAGAGAATTTTTTAAAATCAAAATTTTTCGTAATTTGAAGCAAAGATCGTAATTTCTCTTTTTGAATGCTTAAGTATTCCAATATGCTTCCAACTAAACATGGAACATTTTCAAAATAATGTTTAATAACAAAGTTGAAATTCGATTTTCAACTGTTAATATCTTATAGAAATTATAGAAAAAAAATTGAACATTTTTCTCGTACCTTTCAAGTCAGCCCCTATTACCCCTTAAAAGGAATGGCGCCAATTTTGAATCACCCTGTATTCTTTAGGCCATTGACGATAACGCTTACCGCTTGTATTCTGGCGCGTCATCGTGTTTCACATTCACGTTTGACAGTTTTTGTTAACGCATCTTTTAATAATTCGCATCGTACCGTCGAAAGTGAGAAAAAGAGATATATGTTTTCAATTATTAAAAAACACGTTACAACGATTCGATCGGGTTTAGCTGCAACTTCTACTAGATTCAATGAAAGTTTATCAGAATTTACAAATAATGCTTCATGATTTTTTACATTATTCTTTGTTGAACTCCAGATGTATCACCTGCCATCACGCACGCATTATTGCAACATTGTGACCTGTAGTTTGTTAAGGAAAAAAATCCTCGGCTAACAATCGTGAACTCTCAAAAAACGATTAAAATGTGCAGAAAATGTCTATTATATCTAATTCGAAACTTCCAGCATGTTTTTCAATTAGTTCGATGCATTGCCCGTGTCCGTGCGCTGAAAATGATGCAAAATTGAAGGAATTCTGAGAAAATTTTAAGTTTTTCAAAAAATCGACCACCACACTTGAACTCTCAAAAGACGCTTAAAATGTCTATTATTCCGAATTCGAAACTTCTAGCATGTTTTTCAATTAGTTCGATGCATTCCCCGTGCCGGTGAGCTGAAAATGATGCAACATTGAAGGAAATTTGAAAAAATTTTAATTTTTCCAAAAAATCGACCAAAAAAAAATTTCCTTTAAAAATAAATATTTTACATGCGTGTTTTTTGAGCTCGACTTCTTTCGACGTAAGAAGGTCACAAATATCAATTTATAAAGTGTTTGGGTCAATATTAATGAAATTTCATCAGAATTTATTTTTCTAAAATTGTATTTGCGATCTAGGCTGCATCTTTAGCATGCATTTCAATAAAACTCGCTTAAACTTTGATTTAGACTATTAGTGTTCCTTTTCTTTCTTTTTATTTACGAATTAACATTTATTACATTACACTGGCACTACAATATATTTTTTACAAATCAATTAGGTATAGTAAAAATGAAAAGTATCCATCAATTTTTTGACCATATGGCCCCCTTTTGTGAGGAGCGCCCTTGCCCAACCCTCGCATACGAATGACGCCAATTTTCAACTATTTTCCATATTTTATTGAAACGGAAACGAACAACTTTTTTTCAAAGTTGGAAACTTGACCGTATGTTTCAATTATCCATCAAAGAGTTTTCTGGCAACGGCGGTTGGCCATTTGGAAGAGATGCATCGTCTTTCTTATTGAGCAGGTGCGAAGTTGCCCAAACAACAAGTAAAATAATGATTGTGGTAGTAATACCAAGTGATTTCAGTCAAGAGAAACATGTTCTTTAAATGTTACTCGCCCGGCGACTCAGCTTGCTTGCATAGCTGTGTTTTGATGCAGTTAGTTTGACGGAAATTGGTTAGCCCTATAAAGCTGAATAGCTAGTCTTATAAAGCTGAAGCGAATTTTCGACAGCAGTTTATCAACTAAGATGCTCGTTTTTTTTTTCGAAAAAATCTCGAGCGATATATCAAAACTCAGATCCGGAAAACGAATACAACCAAGGTAAAAACCACTTACCTAGGACGATGGCCAGCGTTTTTGTGGCCTTCCGCTCCTTTTTCGCTGACGATTTTTCCCGCTTTTTCCGACTGGCCTTGTTTACTTTATAAATTGTGAATCTAGCTGCGGCGGTCGCTTTCTTTTCCTTTTTCGACCCTATCGATCTAACGCTCGCTGTTCTTGAGTTTATCGTCGCAACCGTCCTGAAATGACAAATGATACTCAATGAAATTTGTATGGCCCTTTTGCTTCCGAAGAAATATGAAGACGAAAAAAATACCATAAAACAAACTTGGAACTGGCTTCTGATATATAGATATCTAGGGGTGCGCGTGGCGATGTGCAATTTCTTTGGCTTTTACCAGTGAAACTGAAAAGCCAAAAGCAAAATCGTTGGCAAACATCAACCTAGCGTGCCCTTCATCATTAATCATTTGGGGAACTGTTATGCAGGAATTTCTTAAGGTGACAGGCCCATACGGGGCAATTCAAGCGGCTGCCCTTGGAATCATCTGATATTTTTTGGGCTTGTGATTTAAATCAACATTGCCTGCTATTTTAATGTAAAGTGCATGCATTTATACAGGGTGATTCACGGTCGATGGCGTATTAGACGTTTGAGAAACTAGACACCCTGTATATTATTGCACGCTTAGATTGGCTATTTTGATCTGATTATTTTTGCATAACGATTCCTATATCTATCTAAAGGCGATTTCCGATATATTAAATAACATTCATTGTTTTTAATCAAAACGTAGCCCCAAGGAATCTGGTATACAACGCGATTTTGATCCCTGGAAATTAAAAATTTTGGTATTATGCTTGCGCCCGGCGCACGGAAGTCGTTTTATTTTATTTAGGAAGTAATAATTCATTAAAAAAAGCAACAACAAATACATTATTTTTGGCTTTATCTTAAAAA